ATATTATCTACATATATGCATCCTAGACATAACATTCTTGTTTGATTCTAAGGACATACTTGGAATGTTAATTTTCGCATCCAACCAAATAATGCTCCTTTCAGTCCTTTTATATTAAAGGCAGTGAAAGAGTTGTTAGAAAATTTCTCTGGAAAACACAAGTGTTTAACCAAAGCTCCGGTTTCGAGCTTATTATGCTCTCGTCGCGGTAAGCACGCCAACTGAGAGAAACAGGTTCCAAGGTGATTCAAACGCGAGGCAAGATGTAGATCATTAATAGCGCGTGGCTCCCTCTCTTGGAAGTCCTACAAAGCAAAAGAAAAAGAATATACCTATAATATTTTTAGTAGGTTCTAGATATAGCATTATTGTTTAATTGTTCAATTAAGATTTTTGAGTAGGTACTTTAGATAATTAGGTGAACAATATGGAAATATTCTTATCATGGGTACCTACCTACATAAACTTCTCAGCACAACTTGGTAGGTAGGTATATTATTGATACTTGATAGAGATATTAGCCGAAATAACATTTTTTTAGGGTACATTATAGAGTAAAAATCAAACGAGAAGAAGCCACTGTCGTTAGCGCTGACAAAGAAAGTAGATTTTCTTTTCTCTGGGTCCCCCCCCATTTAAAGTGAGACAAACGATAACGCGCGTGGCTTCTTCTCGTTTGATTTCTACTCTAATAATGTTCGTGTGACAATATTCAGATAATGTTATATAAAGTAGGTTCTTAGCACAATCTTTCAGGTAGGTGCATAGAAGCAACATTCCTAGTAGGTACATAAATAGAACGTTTAAAAATGAATATTTCAATCGAAACAATCTAAGAATATTCATTAAACATTCCTAAAAGAACATTCCAAATAGCACTTTGAGGGAATATTCTGAGAATATGAATCACTGTTATGTGGGTAGTTTCAATTCAATCCAATTTTGCATTTAAAATACGAAGACACAGAGGCTCGAATTCATCACAGAGGGACGGGTTGGTTTGGATTAGCTATTTTCGTCTAAAATTCCAACATACAGAAACAAGTACGTTACATTACGATATATTTGGCAACGGTGTCTCGAGCTCTCCCTATTCCTATGACTAGACTCTTGAAATGCTACCAGTGTGTAGGTATCTCAAAAATATTGGGTGTTGCTGGGGTGAAAATTGAAGCAGAATGAGGCAGGACCATAGCAACACAAGCAGGAATATGTTTGAGTGATCCTGCTTCCAATGTGTTTTCAAGCCAAGGGTGAAGTTACTAACCATAATGAAAATCCTTGTATCTCGAAAATAGTACTTGTTGCCGGGGTGAGATTTGAAGCAGGATGAGGCAAGACCATAGCAACACAAGCAGGAACATATTTGAGCGATCCTGCTTCCAGTGTGTTGCCAAGGGTGAAGTTAGCAACCAAAATAAAAATCGCAGTATCTCGAAAATAAAACGTGTTGGTGGGGTCAGGTTTAAAGCAGGATGAGGCAGGATTATAGCAGCACAAACAGGAATCTATTTAAGCGATCCTGCTTTCAATGTGGTGCCAAGGGTAAAGTTAGCAACCATAATAAAAATCGCTGTATCTCGAAAATAGTACGTGTTGCTGGAGTCCGATTTGAAGCAGGATGAGGACCAAAGCAGCACAAGCAGGGATATGTTTTAGCGATTCTGCTTCGAATGTCTTACTAACTTCTCCGACATAGTCATGGATCCTTAGCTGTTTTACAGAACACTAATTCTCTGAAAAAGTATTCAAAAACCCCAGTTTTTTTAAAGAAATTCCAATTGACCCACCTAAGAAAATGTACATCAATTTTTTTATGATTTCTCATGACTTTCTTGAAATCTGTCTATTTACTATTTGAAGGTCGTCCGTCAGGAATTAAACATCAAACTTCTTCACCATAGGTCTGTTCTCACAGAAATCACAAACCATTTAGAGCAAATTCCATTGGTTGAAAATAGTCAAAAAACTGTTGGCGATTTGCACCAATCAAAAACACTCTGACTGGTTTGTGATTTTTTCAGTGGGAACAAATCTCAAATCAGTGCAGTCCTTCACGCAGAAATTCGTAACCTAACTTAAAAATTATAAAAAATACTGACTTGCGGTTATTACTCGTGTTATTAGGATTAGAAGGAGCACATTTCCAAGTATATTTTTTTAGAAGTTTCAGACCTTCAGCTTTTGCTGAAAAGTTCTACAGAACGCGAATTTTGAAGAAAAAGTACCCAAATACTCAAAAACCGTAATTTTTTGAAAAAATTGTAACAAGACCTTAGGAAACAATACCTGATAGGACCTTGATACCAAAAATGTTTAATAAAAAATTCTCACAGACAGGTATACAAAGAAAAATTCAGAAGAAGCTCATGAAAATGATTTATTTGTGGATATTCTCTGGAAGAATTGAAGAACAAGAGCTGAAAACCGTTGACCAGAAAAAGCCTTATTATGCTTTTCAGGATATACCTTATTCTAAATCAGCAGTTGGTGAATTTTCATTTATGGTAAATTTCCATGAAATGCTACATACAAAGTTTCACAATCAAATTATATGTAATTTGCAGGAACCCAGCTTTTGCAAAAAAATTGAACAAAAGGTAGGGGAGGGTAGTCCACTCTGGGACGGCTTTCACAGTGGGACATTACATTTTTCTCTAAGACCTTAGAACATATTTGAGATTTGGAAACCCTGTAATAAATCTAAGATGAATGACAAACGTCACCAGCTATATAGCCGCCTACGGCGCAGTTGTTTGTTGATAGTAGGTATGTGGTTTTAAGAACTTCTAAGTAACTTTTACCTAAAATATACACAGTTAAAATTCCTCAATTGTGCAGTCTCTTCAATTTGCAAATAAGTAAATTTAAACACACACTTTTTAGCAATATACTTGCGTTAGTAGCGATTTATTGAAATATTTGGTTAAGAAACTATACTAATTTTATCTTGTTGGTGCTTTGTTTCCACAGTGGGACTGCATCAGGTAGTACACACTGAGTCGGTGTCTCATGGTATATAATGGCATTTTGTTCTAGTAAGGAAACGAAGACTCAAACTTTAAAATGGTGAGACCTAAAGACAAGCCTAGAAAAATAGGGAAAACGAAAAAAAAAAAAGAAGATATGGTTGCAGGTATCAAGCTAGTTACAGTACAGAACTTATCTATAAGAGAGGCTGCGAGAACTAGTCGAATTCTACTACAGACGTTGCATCGATATGTGAAAAAGCTAGGCCCAATTACATCCAGGTACTGAAATAAGAACGCAGCTGCATTATGAAGTTAGGCAAATATTTAGCAGAGAACAGGAAACTGATCTTGGCGAGTATTTAGTAAAATGGCTTATGGATTATCAACTGTAGCTTTAAGAAAATTAGCTTATGATATGGCAAAAGAGAACAACATTGAAATTCCACAATCGCGGGAAGAAAAGAAAATTGCTGGCAAAGAATGGATGAGAGGTTTCTTATATCGTAACCAGAATCTAAGTAGATATTAGAAAACCTGAAGCTTGCAGTCTATCTAGATTAACAACGTTTAACAAGCACAATGTTACAGTATTTTCTAATAACCTGCAGTCCATTTTAAAACGATTTCCACAGTTAGCACTGGAATCACGAGTCTTCAACTTGGACGAAACCGGCCTGACTATAGTCCAAAAACCCAAAAAGATCATTTCACACAAGGGAGTAAAGTAACTAAACCAGAGCACTAGTGGAGAGAGGGGAGAACTAGTAACTCCCTTGGTGGGTATTTCAGGTGCAGGAATATTTATACCTCCAGTAATGATTTTTCCTATTCAGAACTATTTGTTTCTGTGATGGAACATTTCATCAAAGACACAAGTAGTACAAAAGATAACCCCACTTTACTCATATGTGATAACCACGAGTCCCATATGGGTATTCAAATTTTGGCCAAGCAACAGGGAGTCATAATGTTAACACTGCCCCCGCACTGTAGCCATAAGATGCAACCATTAGATGTAACAGTCTTTGGGCCATTGGAGGCATACTACAACGCAGATATTCCTATTATTATATACAAACTTGCTGAAATGACTGGAAGAGCTCTACCAAAGACCGTGACACCTTCAAATATAATTTCGGGCTTCAAGAGGTCAGGAATATTCCCGTTTGACCGGGATGTATTTACAGATGCTGATTTTTTTACTTCCTCCGTAACTGTTAGACCTCTAGAACATCTTGAGGCCTCTACTTCTGTTGAAGAAAGATCTACTGAACCTGAAACTAAAGAAAATTATGAACATGAAGTAGTTGTAAACAACCGCAATCAAGAAAAGGGAACAGAATTTATTTCCCTGAAAATATTTCGTGGATTTCCTAAAGCTTTACCACGAAAGAAGAAATCATCTGGACGTCAACGTGGAAGAAGCACAGTGTTGACGGATATGCCAAAAAAGGACCTAATTACTGCAAAAACAGAAAAGAAATTGGAAAACCAGTTGAAAATGCAAAAGAAATAAAACGTGTTAGCAAGGATTTATTCAACAAGACTACGAAAAATTCAACGACTCAAGATAGTGACAATACATCAGACGACGAAGACGATTCTCAGGTAAACAATGGTTACCTATATCTCTATGAATTTAATTTTCTACAGAAATTATACTTTCAGATAATTTATGATGATCAGTCATCAGATGAAGAAGAATCGTTTACAGAGTTTCAAGAATTAGAACGGGAACCTATCGTTGACGACTATGTTCTGGTTCGGTTCCTGAACGATGTCTTCTTCGTGGCAAATATATTAAAAGGGAAGGACGCAGCAAAGGATTATGAAGTGTCCTACCTTAACCTTAGGAAGGGCCTAAAATTAATTCACATTTCCAGAAATACTCGATTTAGCTTCTGTGAACCAGTCCGATATCGTTATGCTTCTACCGCCACAGATATATATGCTTTCCAACTTCTTTTAAAAATTTAAATGTTCGCCAAGTCAATTTACACAAATTAATATGTTCTAAGTAAAGCGTAACATGAAAAAAAAACCGGTATCTCATTGTACACGACTGATGCTACACAGTGAGACATTTTTGACATTTAAAGAGAAAAAACTACCAGTAATGGTAAATGGATATACAGTGCAGCTTTTGTGGGAGGCTCTTCAAAAATGGAAAAATTCGGACCTGATTATTTTTTCGAACAAGATGTTTGTAAGCTTCAATTATCGTGTTGGAATTTTTGGTGTGGAAATATTCAACCATCTTCAGACACCAGATTAACAATTGATTCTTTTACTGGTTTCTTATGTACCGAAAACTATACCGCCACAGAAAACTGGGGATTAAAAGACTACACTTTAGCACTAAACTGGGTGCAACAAAATATTGAAAAATCCGGAGGCGATGTGAAAAATCTAATTTTATTTGGCCAGAGCGCTAGAGCGGCTTGCATTTCAATATTAATCGAAAGCCCTTTGGCTAGAGGTAGGACATGTTTTTCGTCAACTTATATTCTAGGGCTTTTCCACAAAGCAATATTGCAAAGTGGTACCAGTCTGAACCCATGGGTTTACTCTCAATGGGTCAAGAAATCAGTTTACGCTATGGCTCATTCATCTCCTGGAAATCAACACTAGTAATATTAACGAATAAGTGGAGCACTTGAGAAAACTAGATTAAAGAATCGTGGGGTCTGTATCTACTGGTAAGTAACCTAAAGTAAGTAGCCTAAAGTAATGTCCTAAAAGAGAAAAGGTCTAGATGAATTCTAGGAGCCATGCTTTGAAGTGAACCACCCCGGAGCAGTTTCAACAAACTTCAGTCATATTATAATTAAAAACTGAGATTTCAGTATAGAGTAACTGTAATGGTAGGGTTCAATTCAGAAAAGGTAGCTCGTGGTTTTGATAGTAACCAGAATAGATATTGGTTTCCTTATTTCAAAATTCGTTTTTTCAGTTTTTATTGTTAACATTCTTGAAACCCTATGTGGCATGTTATGACCCATTTTCCACACGTTTAGTTACAGCCCAGCAAGCTTAAACATGGAGACAAGTTTTCAAAAGATTGCTGCAGCTCAATTAATAAGGATGAAATATTTTGGACTGATGCCTATTATTATACTTTCAAACAAGAATCTCATAGGTTCAGCAAATGTTGATTCTAAATAATTTATTTTTTTATTTGAGTTTATCACATATGATCAATTTGTTAGACCGATGTACGAATACATAAAACAGTGTTCTAAATACACTGCAACATATTTGTACATATTTTCGAATGAGGGATCCCTACTATTGAACTCGACAACCCACCCTAGATTACTGATAAATATGCCTAATAAAGTAGAAAATTGTTTTAACCCAGCATTTGGACTAATTCACTTCAAACTTTAAAGGAATCTGATAAGTTTAAACTACTACATTGACTTAATCCTGAAACATTATATCCTTCAAATTTAAGAAGAAAACCAAAAGTAAACTGTGAATTATAGCTTGAAAAAAAAAATGTGCCTGCATTATTTGGCCAATGCAAAATCAAAAATCCTTTAATTTGATTCCACTGGCTATCTCAATTAGGTCATCCGGAAGCTTATTATAAATCTCTCAACTGGATTGCCTCATCGTCATCTCTCTCCGATAAACTATCCACTCGAATACCAAAAATTCTGTAAACAACAATTAATACATCACCAAAATGAGAAAAGCAATTTGCAACACGAGTCCCAAGCCAAAACAATAAAATTGCCAAAAATGATTTTCGGCAAATAACCATTTCATCATCTTATCGTGAAACTATTGATTATAAAAATTACATCAGCCAAAAAGCGCGCCACACGGCGTTTTGAATATAAACTAGCCGGCTACAAGCTTATTCATTCATTCATAGAGCTTTCTCCGTACGATTCAGATCGTGCTTGATATCTCAGTTACTTGAAATACTTTTTTCAGTTGTACTTATTTCATAATGGCAAATATGGGCTTTGGAATTGATTATAGTCAATTCATGAGTGTTCATGCTAGCAGAAGAAGACCTGCATTAACGAGAGAATTGAGTAAGTAAAAAAAAAATTACTAATAAAAAACAATACTAATATAATTTATTTATTTCCCTTATAGCCAAGCGACAATATGGTGCCCCAAAAGAATCCATTTCCCTTGCTGAAGGTATGCCGAACGAAGTCACCTTTCCATTTCAATCTATCAATATTGTCATGAAAGACGGTTCATCCCTTGACATTCAAGGACAACAACTTAACACGGCCCTGCAATACATCCCTAGTCAAGGATACCCTTCGCTGTTGAAGAAAATCAGAGATTTTACCCTTCAGATACATAATCCACCGAACTGGCAGGACAGAGATGTTGTGATGACCAATGGCTCTCAGGATGGTATCAGCAAGGCTTTGGAAATGCTTGTTGAAGATGGAGATCCAGTTTTGGTACAAAATCCTTTGTATGCTGGAACAGAGATTATTGTAAGTAGTTTAAAAATTTTGTCTAAATATATATTTTATTTGAAATATGTTTTTAGCTCAAACCTTTTAAACCAAATCTTATTGGTATTGAACAAGACGATGACGGTATAATTCCCAAAAAACTAATCGAAGCACTTGAAGGCTGTAAAGCTTACACAGAGGAAGGCGGAGGGAAAATGCCGAAAGTCATCTACCTCAACCCAACAGCCTCAAACCCAACCGGTGTCACAATGTCCCTGAGACGTCGTCAAGAAATTTACCAGATCTGCTGCAAATACAACATTTTGATCCTTGAAGATGACGCTTACTACTTCTTGCATTTCCTGGACGAGCAACCTGTGTCGTTTTTGTCTTTGGATGTCGAAGGAAGAGTGCTCCGGTTTGATTCCATGTCCAAAGTTTTATCTTCAGGATTGAGATTGGCTTGGTTGACTGGTCCCAGGCCTTTGGTGAATAATATCGAACTTCACATTCAGAGTTCCATGTTGCATTCGAGTACTTTATCTCAGGTAAATTATTTCATTTATTTAATTCGATTCTTGTTGAGTTTTCTTCTTTTCAAATATTTATTTTTCTATTATTTTCTTAAATAACTCTCGAAACCTTTTCAAGTTTGACCCTTATTTTGAGCACATGAGTTATTGAAATGAACATCTCATAACTAACCGCTTATGGTTATTTCTTCAATTACAACGTTGCCGTCGATTGAAATTTTTCTCATTTTAGTTATTTTTAACTAATTCTAAATGGCGTTCATCAAATAGACTCAAGACTTTGTATTTAACAAAAACATTGTAATAGAAGAATCGACATTTTTTTCTTTGAAATATTAGGTAATTTTATTTTTTTTCAAAGTTTCTAAAACTTATCAGGTACTTCTTATAGCTAAAATATTTTACTTAAAAGAAAAATATTGTAGATTACAATTAGGTACAATTTTCATAACATAACAATTTCATAATACAAAATGATGTCAAATTCCTAACCGTATGCCCAAAACTTCTGTAAATTTTTCACAGCTATACGTCTTAATCTCACAAACAACTATTTATTATTTTGATAACCTTATCACAAATAAATTAAAAATTATTAATAATAATCTTATGATAGCCAGTTTGAGCTGGTTAGAAATATTTTTCGAGTACTAGGTCAACGGACCATATGATTATACAAGAATATGAATTTGCAAAAAATAAATTTATTATTACATGTATTCGACTCCAAGGTTCACAAAAAATATTGTGATAAAATTCAAAATTTTGCCTGTCGTTTTGATAAATGAATTTGTGCAAAAAAACATGTCCACTAATCTATAAATAATCTAAAGGTCAATTGTGGCAAATTTTTAACAAAAATCATATTTCTTTTTCAGGTCATCTTAGATAACCTCCTATCATCTTGGGGGTTTAATGGTTTACTAGCACATTTCGCCTACGTCAGAAGGTACTACAAAGCAAGGCGCGATTTCACTGTGGCTTCAATGGAAAAACATCTCAAGCATTTATGCGAATGGAACGTCCCAAGTGGAGGCATGTTTGTATGGATCAAAGTCCATGGAGTTGCTGATGTATACGACATGCTCATGACCAGAGGCTTGAAGAAAAATATCACTTTTGTCCCAGGTCATGCTTTCATGGCTGATCCAACTAAGGCCTGTCAGTATATAAGGGCTTCCTTCAGCAAAGCAACCCTTAAGCAAATTGATAGGGCCATGTATTTGTTGGGTGAACTGATAAAGGAAGAACACGTGCTTTTACGAAGGAAGCTAGATGGCTTGGATGATGAACATAGTATATTAAGATAGTAATTAAGGGCTTCAATTGAGCTAAAATAATGAATTATACTTATTGTATATAACTGGTAACATGGGAAACATATGGACGAACTTCGTTCTTCTGCTGGATGCATCATTGTTGAAGATGGATGGTGGAAATACAATTTTGTATCTTAAGACGCATACAAGAATTATTGAGAGATGAGTCATACGACTTTGTCTTGCGCTCGTTTTAATTGAGTCTTGAAGCAGTCATTTACTTATAGTGTTTATTGAAAATACACAGAAATGTAAAGATCAATGAAAATTTATTTAGATATTCACTAGCATGTAAATTAATTGTTAAACATTGAATAAAATACTGAAGATGAAATATTGTTTTATTATTATTGTTATAACCAGTAGCATTAAGATAAAAGTGTTAAAAATTGAATTTTTATCGTATTGATGTTACGACAGCCTGTTTACAAGATCTGCTTGAGAAAATAATTTGAACAATTGAGATTAAAAATTTAGACAATGTCTTTCTTATAAACACATGCATCAACTTGAAGGATATAATTGCATCAAAACTCTAGAAACTTCGGTTTGAACAAGGTCTTTAAAATTTGTTTCATGCTTGAATTAAGTCCAACTAATCAGGAACAATGTGTTACGAAAAATCACAAATAGGTATCACTTAATCCAACGATGCCCGGATCTTCTTTAGCTTTTGTGTTCTAATCTGTCCTAGATATATGTAGACATAGTTCTGACTTTATCCAAAGGCGGGTTTTAAATGTAGACTGCCTTTTGCTTTCCTCATATTCATCTTCATGCTCTTTTCTTCCGATGTTCATCGAATGCCTTCTCATAGCAGTTCACGAAAAAGAGATACCTGCATGGGGAAATGGTATTCGTTGGGTTTTCCTTTGAGAATTTTTATAGTGACGGATAGCCTTAATGTGTATAAGGTCTACCGGTAGTAGATAGTAGCCTTTCAAAACTGAAGCGATTTTGTTCTCGATAATTTTTTCTGTTGTCTTTTTTTTTGTATCACGTTTTGGTTTGAAGCATTTATGCCTCCATTCTCTTGAGAGCTGTTTCAATAATTTCCCAATTGTATTGTGCTTTCCATCGACGAGAAGACTTATTTTGTGCTTCATCGATTCCCTCATTATTTCAGCGCCTATATCCTAGCCTGCTTATTCTTCTTTATCAATTTCCTTCCTTTTTCGTAAAAGTTTTTTTTATTGTAATCTATCATTGATGTTTTCCATATCTCTGGCATGCCTTTTTCCAGTGAACTTCGAAATTCCTGTTTACGCACTTTTAGTTGATTCGAGTCAAGCTTAACTTTTTTGTTGAACAAATTTTCTTTTCCGGACCCCTATTTGATTTTAGTTCAGGAATCTGATCATTGCCTCAATCTCAATCTCAATCGCCTCTCTACACAGTCCATTTCTGTTCCTCATATGGCACCATCCCCTTCTGTCTTGCGCTTCTCCTATCCTATTGAACCCTGCTGTTAATTTTATGTCGTTTGTCCAGCGCATTGGTGGTCGTCCTCTATTTCGTCGTCCTAGGTATGGTCTCTAGTGCAACCAGTCTGTTATTCCATCTCGCGTCTGTACATCTGGCTATGTGTCCGGCATAGTTCCATTTTTGAGTGGCAATGGTTTCGATCACATCTCTGACTTTCGTAGTGTTTCTAATCCATTCGTTGGTTTTTCTGTCCCTCAACGATATTTCTAGCATTTGTCTTTCCATGTATCTTTGGGTTACGGCCATTTTGGTCATTGTTAGTTTTGTTAATATCCATGTTTGATATCCATAGGTTGGAACAGGAAGAATGCACTAATCAAATAGTCTTGATCTCAATCTTATTTTTCAGAATATACGTAAGTCTTCCAAATGCCGTCCATGCCAGTCTTATTCTGCGGTATATCTCGGTGGTCTGGTTTTCTTTCCCCAGTTTCAGTTGGTGCCCAAGATACGTATAGCTTTCTACTTTTTCAATGGTTTGGTCCTTAATAATTATTTGGGTATCTTCTTTGCACATTATTTTGGTTTTATTTAAGTTCATTTGTAGTACGATTCTGCCCAACTCTGCGTCCACTTCAAGCAGCATTTTCCGTGGGTCATCCGGATTCTCCGCAATAAGCACCACATCATCGGCAAACCTTAAGTGGGTAAGTTGTTCTCCATAGATGTTCCCATTGAATACGTCGAAATTCTCCCTTGAGAGCCAAATTAAATAGTTTAGGTGATATAGTATCTCCCTGGCGGATCCCTCTAATTATGTTTCTTTTATTCATGTTTCCGTGTAGTTTAATTGTAGACGTTGCCTTATTATAAATACTTTCTAAAATCTGGGTATATCTGTGATCTATGCGTGCATCCCTTAAGCTATTCTATAGAATCAAATGCCTTGTAGGAATCTATAAACGCCAGTTAAGGTTGTACTCTGTGACTTTCTCCATAAGCATTCTCATCGTCAGGAGATGATCGCATGTTCACCATAGTTCTTTCTGAATGCAGCTTATTCTACCGGCTGGTAGTCGTCCAGTTTGTTTGCAATTCTGTTTGTTAGTATTTTTGTGAAAAGTTTGTAGATCTGGGAAAGTAAACTAATAGGCCTGTAATTCTCTAGGTCTGATTTATCGCCTTTTTTAAATAGGAGGACTACTATAGCGTTATTCCATGCATCTGGTATTTTCCCCTCTTCCAGGCATTTATTAAATAGTTCGCATAATTCTGTGATTATAGCTTCTCTTCTTTTATAAGTTCTTTATAATTCTTTTATAAGTTCTATTGTTATGTCGTCATTTCCTGGTGCTTTGTTGTTTTTCATATTTTTTAATGCTAGCATTATTTCATCTTCATTTATGTCGGGCATTTCTTCTGAACCAGCGTTCAAAATCTTTTGTTGAGTTGTTCGATATATGGGATACTCATTTGTTCGGGAAGTATATAGTTCCTTGTAAAAGTTTTCGGTTATTTCCCAGGGCCGATCCTAGCAGGTGTGCAGCGCGTGCCCCGCACGCGGGCGGCCGCAGGCCGCCTATAATTCTGTCATTTAAGATTCAAGTAAAACATTTTACGAATTTCTCAAAATAAAACTACTTCTAATAAAGAATTAAGCTGAACTTTAAAAAACTCCTAAAAAATGAACATAAACTCCGAATCTCCTGATAGCATAAATAGGAAGTTGAGTGCACAGTCGATGTGTAGTCCAGCGGCGTCTCGTGTCGGAGGGGGGGGGTTGGGTACTGGGGGTAATTACCCCCCAGGATCGAATTCTCAAGAGAAAAATCATGATGCCAAAAAAAATACATAATATATTGAAGAAAATACATTTTTGTATTGTTTTATTTTTTGGAGGTCCTGTTATTTCCATTATTTTTTGTACGTCTCTTGTATCTGTTTTTTAAGACATATAATCTGTCTTCTGCTCGCAAACTTTCTTATGCATTTTAGGTTTTTATTTTCGTCTATCGCCCTCACTGCCTATACGATGAAAATGATATAATATGAGACAAAAGGATTTAGATGTTGATGTAGATCAATGCAGTTTTTCCGTCTTCGCTTTACCAAAGGTCCTAGTATTTATATCATCTGATTTTCTCAGGTTCTTTAACTTTTTCCTGTCTTTTTGCAATGCACCCTAAAAAATAAGGGGTAGGTATATAGGTACCTACTTATAACGTTTTTATTGATCTTTGTTTAAAGGAAATACTGCTCTTTCTATTTTATTTCGTTGTACACAGTTACAGGTTTTCTCTTTCTCTATCTCATAAAATGATCACTTGCATATTACATATCTTTCGTGAGATTAAAACAACTAAAATAAAAAAATTCATATGAAAATGAAAACATTTAGAAAAAAACAAGCATTCAACAAACATTCAAAATAATAGGTAATTTGTTAAACCACTAATAAACATTGGCTACGTTCACCAGAACCAAAACGGATTGTATACAGTTTACAAATAGGTACCAACAGAATATGTTGGGTAAACTCTTGGTTCTGCTGAACGATTCAACTTTTCAATGATAGAACGTCACCTTCTGAATGACAGGTCACCACACAAAACACAGTGTTGAAAATTATAAACAATCTGAAATTAGGCTTGCAAAAATGGCGACCGTTTGCAAAACATGTTTGGTTTTAACAGAAATTCAACGTAGCGTTCAGCAGAACAATCGCAAACCGTTTACCAACGTTTGTATCTGGTGAACGCGGCCATTGTTATCAAACTTAATACAAACTTAATTCGAAAAGAAATACAAAAAAAAATTATTCTAGAATAAAATCATGACACCTTTCTGGAATTTTATTCTCTCTCTTCGGTCTCACCTTAGAATTCGCAGTTTCCTCTGACCTAAAGTTGAACTCAGAGTGGAAAAACTGTTCATTAGGGATTTTGGAATCACTACTTGATTAAAATGACACTTCAATGTTATTCATCGAACAAGGTGGAATTATACTTGAGTAGTTCATCAGGCTCATCTATTTATTTAGTACATCAGTACTATTGCTGTCTTCGGGTTGGCTAAATTCAGAAAAGGTGCTCGTGGAAGTGAAGCAGGTACGATTACTGAGTTGAATGATCCTCGATCAATTTCCAATGAGAGGTGGTGTTGACTTACCTCTGAGTTTGAGGAGTTGGAGTAGATACTCACTTGCTGATCGGAAGAACTTCATTTGTTCTTGAAGAATAATGTATTTCGAGTTTTAAAGTAGTTGTCTCCCTTTTACTTTTATTGTTGTACCTATGATTTGCACAATTTCCATCGGTCTTGAATCAAAATAAGAAGTTAACATGTTCTTTTGAACTTATGATATTTAGTTTTCCTCTTGTCAGCCTATACTTTTTTGTTTTAGTTTATTCTTGGAGTCAGTCTGTTGGATGTCCTCAATTGGTATTGATTCTTGTATTGTAGGAAGAAAATTGTTCATTTTTCAACAGAAAATAATCTCAAATGGTGATTTTTCTGTTGTTCAGTGTGGTACTTCTGTAGTTGAACAAAAATTCTTGTATTTTTATGTTATGTGAGAGCACAACAAAGATTCCTGGATCGTTTCCACAAATCTCTCGGCCATTCTGTTGGCCAATGCCCATGCTGGTGTTATTCTGATATGTGTCACGCCATAATTTTGCAGGTAGGTATCTAGAAAATTTCTTCTACATTTTGAATGGTAGTCCATTATCTGACTTCATAGATTCTGGAAAACTCCAAGTAACAAATATCTTGTCAAGAACAGGATTTAGAGCTATAAATGAAGTGGAGTTTACCACCTCAATTATTGGATAACGTGACCATTCGTCCACAGCTATCAAAATGTATTATTGTTTTGATGAAACGGTCCTGCATAATCAATTGAGAAG